AAGGGACGACCTGGGTCAATGATTGGAACGGATCGCGTGGTATTCGAGCAAGAAACGAAACGAGCAATACGAAAAGACCAACAAGAATCCAGACAAATGCAATATGAAATGAGTGTTGCTGAAGGTACATATTTCTTATATATTTAATTTTTATACATCTAAATATTGTGAATTATATTATTTTTATATTACTTTTACTATTTCTATTAACATTTTGATTTTTTTTTAAACAAGTCAGAACAGTAGAATTTGAATCATCATCATCATCATCATTCTCCTCCATTGAATATCAAAGTCAATTCCCTGGCAATGAAAATATTGGAATTGAAGATCCGGTTAATTTACTTGGTCCGAGTAACTCCAAAAGAAGGCGCGCTCAAAAACAATTTATAACGCCAAATCTGGTTGCGATGCTCGACAGATGCAAAGTTAGTGATCGCGATAGTATTGGCATCATCACAATAATTGCACAAGCTCTCGGACATAATATAGACGACCTGATAATAAATCGAACATCTATTCGCCGCCAGAGAACTAAATATCGTGCAGAACTTGCAAATAAATTACGCGAGAAATTTAATGATTGCGAGCTCAATGCAATTACAGTCCATTGGGATGGAAAGCTTTTACCAATTTTAAAGAGGACAGAAAAGATCGAAAGACTACCTGTGTTAATCAGTTCCATTGGTGTGGAAAAATTACTAGGAATTCCAACGATTTGGTCTAGCAGTGGAAACGATCAAGCTTCTGCGGTGTATGATTTATTAGAAGAATGGTGATTATCCAACAAAGTACAAGCACTTTCTTGTGATACTACCGCCTCAAATACTGGACGCTACCAAGGAGCCTGCGTTCTTCTTGAACAAAAATTGGAAAGAGAAATTCTATATTTGCCCTGCAGACACCATATATACGAAATCATTTTACAAGGCGTCTTTAAAGAAAACATGTACCAGTCTACCGGTCCAAATGTTCCAGTGTTCAAAAATTTTCAAAATGCTTGGCCAACAATCAACAAATTAACTTTTGTATCCGGAATTGAAACCCAATATGTTCGTCAAACAATTACAGATACAGTTATTGAAGAATCAATCAAATTTGCAATAGACGTTTTACCAAGAGAACATCAACCTAGAGAAGATTACAAAGAATTTTTACAATTAATAATTATTTTCCTCGGTGGGACTCCACCAAAAAATATAAGTTTTCGAGCCCCAGGAGCTTTCCACCACGCTCGATGGATGGCAAAAGCTTTATATTGCTTAAAAATATATTTATTTAAACACCAATTTTCAATAACTGTGGAAGAAGAAACTGGAATTCGTGATATATGTATCTTTCTCGCCACTTTTTATATAAAACCGTGGATTCGAGCTACAATGACAGCGGAAGCTCCATGACAAGACTTAGAGTTTTTGCAAAAACTCTATGCGTACCGCACAATCGATGAAAAAATAAGTCTTATAGCTGTAAAAAAAATGTGCAACCATTTATGGTATTTATCAACAGAAACGGCAGCGTTAGCATTTTTTGATAAAGCTGTGGGAAAGAACATAAAATTACGAATGGTGGAAGCGCTTAATACTGAAGTCGACGAATCGTGCAAAAAATATACAATTAATCCAAATGATGTGGGAAACTATATTGAAATAGGAATTGACCATTGTAACGCGAGATATTAATTTAATATAGAAATAAGAACAACGACGCGGCTTTCGCCGAAAAGCCGCTATATCGCGCCCTTAGTTTAGTTACGTTAAAAACGTCGGCGAAGCGTTCGTCAAGAAGCCAGGTCAACGCTAAAAATAGATGGGTCCTGGCCAATCAACAACGGCCAGGCCCGCGCTAGCGCAGGTCGCCCGGGTATAAAAGCGGGCCCTTCGGCCCATGTTAGTCAGTCACTTCCCGACTACGCCAGAGTATACCTCCACAGTGCCGGCTCCTACGCGGGTGTGCCAAGCTGTAGGAACCCTCTAAGCAACCGTCGGGTAAACGCGCCAGGGGCCTTGACTCCCCACACCGTCGAAGCGGTCCTAAGAGGTACGGTAACGCGGCACCTACCCTTAGCATCTCGCTCACGGTCAGTCTACCTTAGGAGCTCTCCGACTCCGGACATCGGCGATTCCTTGTACGCCTGGGCACTGATCAATAAACAATCAGTCCTTCTCGGGACTCGACTCCAAAAGGCCGCTGCAGTCACTACAAACCCTCACCCTCGCACCCATCCTACCTTGGTACTACGAGACCCCGTATCCTGGGTACCACACTCCTTCATCCCCCGAACTACGCAGGTCCTCCCCCCCCCCTCCTCCCCCCCTTACGCCATTTTATTTCTGAAGGTTCAAAAAAATTTTTCGAACGATTCTCAATTCCCATTGAATTTTTAAAAAAGGATCCTAATGTATGGGAAAATGAGAACGATTTTCTATACGGATTGAACATCGTTCAAGGCTTAAAAGTTGTTAATGACACTGCTGAGCGTGGTGTTAAACTTATGCAGGAATATAATCAGTTATTGGCCAAAAACGAGGAGGAAAAACAATATGTATTACAAATTGTTTCCGAACATAGAAAACAGTTTCCGGATGTAACAAAACGGTCACTATTGAAAGAAATATAAGATATTTACTCGAAAAAAATACTTTCATTTTTTATTCCTCCAAATATTCCTTTTCAGTTCTGAAACTATTTTCTTGTATTATGTATTACATTATAAGTACATTATAGTACTCGTATTATATTATATTGGGAATTGTTTAAAGATAAAAATTAAAGTATCTTCATTTGCGAATATATGAAAAAATTTCTTAGACAAAAGTTGTACTGTTTGGCAAGATAAAAATAATACCAAAGAAAAAAGTTTTTTTTGAAGATCAATTTTTGAGATTTCAAGGTCAGGATGTTTTTTTTTAAGTGACCTTATAATTTGATTCTATATTGTTAAAGAACGTAAAAAAACAAATTCAACGATATATAAAAATGTATGTGAACGATATACTACAATGGAGAAAAACGAATTCCAAAAATAAAAAAACTTCAACTGCGATGAGGCACGTCTTACCGTTGTCCGATCGATTTCAAATTTTACACAAATTATTTTCTCACCCAGTGGCACCATACTGGGGGGTGACCGCGCCGAAAAATTGAAATTTATTTTTCGACAAGAGTAACTAAGGTCCACCCTAATACGCATATATGCGCTAGCGGACTCAAGAACAGGATATTTATTCACAATACTTCCATACTATGGCAGCATAACTTCTGATAATATATCCCGGCCAGATCTTCCAGTAAGCACAAGGATTCCGCTACATTTATATAAGAAATTATTAGACAGAGTTTCTGATGCAAAAGGATACATGTTCACCGACAGGTACTATACCAGCATCCTTTTAGCGGAAGAATTGCGAAAGATGAATTGTCATCTTACTGGCACTATAAAAATTAATCAAAAAGGCGTATCGAAACAAATAAAAAAACCAAAATTTTCAACAAATAAAACAGTTGCATACAGGAAAAATAATACTACGCTTCTTGCGTGGAAAGATAAAAGAATTATTACCATGCTCACGAATTATTATAACACTCAACTACAATCTACCCACAGAACATTACGCGGTGGAAATGTCGTAACAGTGAGGAAGCCTGAAATGGTGTTAGAATATACGGCAAACATGGGTGGTGTAGATCGTGCGAATCAATACGCTTCGACGTATTGTTTCCTCCGTAAATCGTTGAAATGGTGGAGAAAGTTATTTTTTGGGGGGTTGGAAATGTGTGTGATAAATTCATACATACTATATCACATCTCAAAACAAACAAATAATGAAACGCCAATGACACACCATAAGTTTGTCAAAACACTAATTGACCAATTGAGGGGCGATTTTCGTGTATCGAGAACGCGTCCATCCACATCTTCTGCGGACAATAGATTAGACAACAAATTGCATATTCCAGATGTGGGACAAAGAAAACGAGACTGTATTGTGTGTTCTAACAGGAATACACCTGGTGGCAGGCGTCAGACAAATTATTATTGTCAAACATGCACTAATCAGCCTGCAATGCATATTGGGGAGTGTTTCAAAATGTATCATACTGTACAAAATTATAAACAATAAAATATTGATTTTTTTGCAAATATACATTCCTCGATCTCAACCAATTCATATAAGTCCAATATCATTATAATACGTTACTTAGTTCCAAAATTATAAGAAATAATACGAGGGTCTGTAAATGTTCGTTTTTGCCGTAAAGTGGCGCTGAGTAGCTGATAGCCAATGTCCAAAATCGTTCGGAGTGCAAAGGGTTAATATTCGGGGCGAATATTATTTCAGGATGGCCGAGTGTAGGAGTGAGTGAGAGAAAGTGTGTGTGTGAGAGAGAGAATGAGCGAGCGATGTGCGCGAGCGAGTGTCGGCACTTTTGAAACACAATGGTGCAGCGGACAAAAACAGATGCCTCGCGCAGCGTAACCGGAAAAAACCGGGAATAGAGTAAGTCGAAGAAGTTCGCAGTTCGTTGTCGAAAGCGCAGATGAGCAGAGCTGAAAAATACATTTATACGTCTAAAAGCACGCGTTGTCTCACTTAATTCCCTACATATTAAATAAACTACTTTTTTCTGATATCTTCCTCATTTATATCGTTTCCTTTATAGCTAAATGTATTTTTTCATTTTTAGACGTGCCCCATTATGGCTTGTAGGCCGCTTACACAAAATGAGTGAGAAAAGATCGCTCAAGATTTATTCGATGAGCCAGAGCAAGATGATGAGACTTACTTTCCCTCGAGTGACAGCGAGTTTTCGGAAGAAGAAATCAAGCAACTCTCTTCATTGGAAGAAATAAATCAACAAAATGGCGTAAGACAACATACCGTGTTTCTGGAAAAACTAAGGGGATAAACGTAGTCACGGTACCCACTGGCCTGACTCATCGAGCTCTTGGTATTGAGAATGAACTGGATGCGTTCTTCCAAATTATCGACATCTCTATGATTGACGACATTTTGAAGCACACAAATATGCATATCGATCAGCTGAGAGTTGATCACCAGTACTCTAGAGATCGGGGCTGTAAAAACATCAACAAGAATGAATTTATGGCATACTTGGGTCTACTATATTTGATCGGTATAAACAAATCTCACCACGCAAATGTGAAAGAGATCTTTTCCAGTGACGGTACCGGAATTCAAATAACAAGAGTTGTCATGAGTTACAAGAGATTTCTCTTAATCATCCGCTGCCTGAGATTCGATGACAAGAATACCAGAATCGAAAGGAGGAAAGTTGACAAACTGGTAGGAATTCGTGACTTCTTCCAAGCTTTTGTCAACAACTGCAAGTTATTATTCAACTTGAGCGAATATACTACGATCGATGAGATGCTGCATCCATTTAAGGATCGTTGTAGCTTCATCCAATATATTCCTAGTAAACCAGCGAAATACAGGCTGAAGATTTTTGCGTTATGTGATGCTAAAAGTTTTTACACATCCATTCTAGAAATATATTGCGGAAAACAACCCGATGGACAATTGGATAATTGGTACACAAGTAGTACCACTTGCTGATTATTTGCTTACGAAAAAAATAACGGTTTTAGGCACAATGAAGAAAAACAAATCTGAAATCCCAAAACAATTTTTGCCAGGCAGACAAAAGCAAGACTGTTGAATCCGCTCTTTTTTGTTGGTTTCCAAAAGGACAAAATGTTAGTGTCCTATGTACCTCGGAAAAATAAATCTGTAATATTACTCTCAACATTACATGACGACAGCGAAATGGATTCCGACACCAAAAAGCCTCAGGTTATACTGGTCTACAACGAAACCAAAGGCGGAGTGGATACTGTCGACAAAATGTGTGCCGCTTACTCGGTCTCTAGAATAACAAGAAGATGGCCATGTGTACTTTTCTACACTTTGATGAATATTGGCGACATAAATGCTCAAATTTTATACAAATTTGCCTGTCCAGTAAAGGCTCCTAAGCATCGAAGAGTTTTCCTGAAAAATTTGGCATTAAGCCTCATGAAAGAGCATCTTATCTTCAGATCAAATCTCAGACATTTACCTCAAGATATAAGTGCTTTTCTCAAAGTGAATTACGGTCGGGGTGTTGAACCGATAACAGAAGAAGAAAAAAGAAACCCTACAAAAAACACGGTGTGTATCGGTCATGTGCATTGGAGAAGAAAAGATCCTCAGCATCAATGAAGTGTTGCCGTTGCCACTCGTTTACGTGCAAGTACCATTTTGCAGTTGAGGTGGTTTGCAACAATTGTAAGGATGAGAATGCTGATTTTGACCAATAGGTCGATCAAATATTTTGTTTTAAAATATTTACATTTTTGAAGTGTTGTTTAGTTTCTTTTATTCACCAAAATCAAATATATTCTTTTTAAAGTACTGCCATATATCATTTTTCACATCCTCACAGCAATTTCCCAACGTTTATGTAAAAAAACACTATTTACATGAAGACGTTACACACGTAAACTTTACGACAAGCGCCCGCTCAAGAGAAATTTCACAGCGTGCCCACTGGAAGGTTAAAAAGTAAGGTAATTATTTAGAAAAGGTCGGGTCTCACCGATTTCGATGATTTTTGAATATGTTGTAGAAATCAACATTTTGAACAACTTTTTCCTATACATATAACCGCCGCTCGGCCTTAGTTTCCGAGATTTCTCATCAAAAAGATCGCTGTTACTACAATGAATTCTATCTATACGTACGAGCCTGTGGCAGCGTGTGTGTAAGCGTTGACTCGCAGATTGTTTATTGTTTCTATAGATACATCGAGGCGGCCGGCAATGGATGCGTATAACGGGTGTGCTTAAAAACTCGATTTGTGTAGCCGGCCGCCTTACGGCGGCCGGTATAAAAACATCTAACCCAGACCTAACACAAACCTAACTATTCTACCTAGTAACTAATATAATGAATTAGGTCTGGGTTAGATTTTCGTATACCGGCCGCCGTAAGGCGGTCGGCCACGCATTCATTTTCTATTGTAGGAAAATATGTTTAAACTGATGAACGGGATACGGCGATGTAGGAGAATATAATAGAACTGATTTCACCAATAAAATGTAACTTCTGCGGCCTGTACACGTTCCTTTATTGTTCGAAGTAGAGACCTTGTCAACAGTTTGAGAGGTCACACATAACTGACTACCGGTCGCTCACCGGAATTCGGGAGCCGTTACCAAATGTCCTCTCAGTGCGGAGAGAGAGGGGCCCTGTATACAGTTAGGAAGAAAAGTATTGGCACACCTGACTCTTTATTATAGGAACGCATATAAATCAAAGAAAAAACACAGGATTAGATTAATTTTTTTTATCAATTATAACTATTAAGTTTATAGTTTGAGAATATTACAAATATATTTATACTAATTAATTGCAAAACAAAAAAGAATGATAAAATGCACATTAATGGCAGTTTTCAATGAAACAAAAGTATTGGCACATTGAAATAAAATGCTTTTGTCTAGGATCTAGAATGAAATTTTTATAAGGTTGGTACATTGTTCCTTCTCGGGAAACCCCCTGATTTCGATAGCATTTATTTGTTTTCTCGTTATTCAATTGTTTACAAAATCTAACGTGAAAACGTGCAAAATGGAGCGCAAAGGCAAAGAAACGACTGTTGCTGAGCGAAAAATTATTTTACATTTGTTTAATGAGGGGCATTCATACTCGTCTATAGGAAATATAGTTAATAGAAGTCGTTTTACCATTAGAAGTATTATTAAACGGTTTTCTAACACAGAAAATTTTGTAAGTGCTCCGCGATGTGGTCGACCTGAAAAATTGAGTGCACGAGAAAAGAGAAAAATTATTAATATTGTAAAAGGAAAACCATCTAGTTCTGCGTCAGAAATAGCGGCAAATATAAACGAAAGTTTTAATAAAGAAGTACATAAAATAACTATTCGACGAATATTAAACAAGGTAGGATACCGATCGCGAGTTGCTAGACGAAAGCCTACTATAAGTAAAATTAATCAAGAAAAAAGATTAAAGTTTGCAAATGATTACATTAATAAAGAAAACGAGTTTTGGGATACAGTGCTCTTTTCTGATGAGTCTAAATTTAATATTTTTCAAAATGATGGACGCACTTTAGTTTGGAGACAATCTAATACCGAACTAGACCCAAAGAACATTCAGAACACTGTTAAACACGGGGGTGGTGGAGTGATGGTCTGGGGTTGCATGAGCTCAAGTGGAGTCGGTGAGCTTGTTTTTATTGATAATATAATGGACAAATATGTCTATTTAGATATCTTAAAAAATAATCTAAAAAAAAGCGTGGAAAAATTAAATCTTGGGAGACAATATGTCTTTCAACAGGACAATGACCCCAAGCATACCGCTTATTTGGTACGGCAATGGATAGTTTTTAATACCCCACATTCCTTACCAACCCCACCGCAATCCCCAGATTTAAACCCGATCGAACATCTCTGGGCTCATTTAGGAAAATGTATTAAAAAACATAATATAACAAATAGACAACGATTGAAAGAAATATTGATGACAGAATGGAATAAAATAAGTCCCGAAATTACAAAAAAACTAGTGCATTCCATGCCAAATAGATTGAAAGCCGTTATAAACAATAAGGGATTACACACGAAATATTAAATTATATAAAATACATAATAATATACCATCTATTTGTAAGCGTGCCAATACTTTTGTTCCATTAAAAACTGCCATTAATGTGCATTTTATTATTCTTTTTTATTTTGTAATAAATTAGTATAAATAAATTTATAACATTCTCAAACTATAAACCTAATAGTTGTAATTACTAAAAAGAATTAACCTAACTCTGTGTTTTTTCTTTGATTTATATGCGTTTCTATAATGAAGAGTCAGGTGTGCCAATACTTTTGTTCCTAACTGTACATCAGAGCAACACATCAAAACAAAGATTCAAAACCAACGGTTTAACGCTTACACTATTTCAATTTTCTTTATTGATAATATCAGAAGTGGGAAAGATTTCAGCCATTATTTCGAAAAATTTCATTATTCGATCATTAAAATCATATTGTCGACGGAAGAAGAATTCAGCTAAATAGCCTACATAATGTATTTGGTGAGATCCAAACTTCGGAATATTCGAACCTTTGACAGGAATGCGTTTAATAACGATACCAACGCAGAACTAGATTTAGCTTGACACATTGTACATTATTTGTCGTTGGTTGTCATGCCGACTAATACAAACAAGAGACAAAATCGACGATCGTGGACTGACGCAATACAGAGCCACAGACATGTAAGTACATATAGACAGAATTCATTGTAGTAGTAGCGATCTTTTTGAAGAAAAATCTCGGAAACTAAGGCCGAGCGGCGGTTATATGTATAGGAAAAAGTTGTTCAAAATGTTAATATCTACAACATATTCAAAAATCATCGAAATCGGTGAGACCCGACCTTTTCTAAATAATTACCAAAAGTAATAATATACGAACTTTAGCCTGGCCAGCCCGTTCTCCTGACATTAATATAATCGAAAACTGTTGGGCACAATTGGCCAGAGCTGTGTACGCTAAAGGGAAACAATTTCAAACTGTTAAGGAATTAAAGGAATGTATAATACAAAAGTGGAATACAATAACTCGAAAGTATATAAAAAAGCTATACAAATCCATCCCAAAACGTTTGCTCCAGATCGTACACAATAAAGTAGGACACACGAAGTATTAGAAGTAACATTAGCGAAGTATATTCTACGTTATAGCAAAGTGTGCTATCATTCTGTTGCACCTATTTTACGTTACTTTATAATATCATTAAATAAAAGCTTTCGTTGTTTTTGTCAATCGACTAAAATGATTTGTTATACTCATTAAACACTCTAAACATACACAGCATAATAAAATAATCTTTTAAAATTAAGGAAATAGTATACTTTCAAGGTGTGCTATCATTTTGTCGCATACTGTATACCCCTGGTCCCGATCGTCCTTTGGTTTTCCTTCGCGCCGGGTGCAAAAGTTCTCGGCGCGTGCCGTGGAACATTCTCGGTCCTTCGAGGATCGAGAATATTCCGCGACACGTGCAGTAGATCGATTTTGCACCCGGCCCGAATCGGTTGCACACGGCACCGTTTCTAATGGGCCTCAACAAATATAACAGAATTTAATAGAAATGCACTTGGAAACAAAGGATAATGCTAAGATTAAATACATGTAATGATTCAGACTCAGAAGATGAAACAGAAAATCAAATTGAAACAGAAGAAAATATTGAAGCTTTAAAAGAAAATGAAGATTCCTCGTCTATTGATGCAGTAAAAGATCAAGCAATAGAAGAAGGTCAAACATGTTAAGAAATACCAAATGTAAGAAAATGTGATAGAAAAAAAGATTTCCAAAAACATATGATGAGTACGTTTTTCTAACATATGAAGAAGCAGTAAAATGTGTAGACAAAGAATTGTGGAAGAAAGCAATTGATAAAGAGAAACAATCGATTAGACAAAATAAAGTATGGAAACTTGTAGGTAAAGAAGAAGCAACGAATAAAAGAATTTTAAGTTCCAAATAGATATTCAAAACCAAAAGTAATGGAACGTATAAAACAAGACTTGTAGCAAAAGGATGCGAGCAAAAATATATAGATATAGTCCAGTTGTAAACATTAAAGTATTAAGGATAGTAATTGCATTGACAACGATAAAGGAAAGGCATATAGCAGTGTTTGATATTAAAACTGTGTTTTTGTATAGAGATTTGAAAAAAGAGTTGTACTTAAGCGTACCAGAAGGCTTTATAGAAAATCCAAACAGGATTTGCAAATTGCAGAAGGCCATATATGGTCTCAAACAAGCTCCAGTGGCCTGGAATTTGAAATTCACCCTGAGAGAAATGAATTTGAGATTTACATCTCTGGAATCATGTGTCTCTGTAAACGAATCGAAAACATTGACACTCGCCTTAGATATGATAATTGTAGATGATGGATCAACTATGGTAAAGAACAAGAGGGAGATGATCTATTTTTTAGGAAAATTAGGTGAGAAATTTTAAATTAATACTGATATTAATCTACAATAATTTTTAAGAATTAATCTTGATTGGGAAAAGGATAGTCTTAAATGAAATCAGTGGAATTATACCAAAGATATTCTGGAAGAATATGGAATGTTAGATTCAAAGAGTGCAGATACTTTAAATGACACACACGAC